AAAAGTTCCTCCTCTTTTCTCCTTGATTTATCCTATGTGACCCAAACCAAATTGTGTCAACTCCCTGTGCCCTTGCCATTTATTCACCAATTGGGAATGCTAAGAAGATAAATTACTTGATGTTTTCAGAACACAGGGGTGGCATTTTGTGGAAAACAGAGCTAGGAATGAAGATGTGGCCAATTAAAATTTTTCTGACAAATCAATCAGCAGATATTTATCCAGAAGGGCTATTGAAGCCTACTGGGTTAGTATAACTGTGTCAATGTTTGCTTTTCTAAGTAGATTTGCCAACTATTCTAGGTCTAGTCAACTGTCAGAGGAAGCATCTCTAATGCTGATCAAACCTGATCTGATGTCCTATCACAAGAGCAGCTAAGTGTAACAAAAAGTCAACCCTGCTTGATTCAAATTGCCTGGGCATGGTAATGAACTCCCCACCCCCCACTTAGATGAAGCCAGACAGAGTACTTAGTTCTTACTCCAGTCTTCAAGGATCTGGACCTTAAGTGGTGGAGATCCATTGACATAGGTGCCAAACTCTGCTGTTTGGTAGTTAGCTTTTCAGAGTTGCTGTGGAAGCCAATCTGGTAATGAACCTCTCTGAAATTGGCCATTTTGGAGCTGAAGCACCAGAAGTAGCCTGCTATGGAACCTATCCTCATAGCCTTTTCAGCAAGGGTTCTTAACCTAGGTTTCATTTACAGGTCCTAAGAGGTTTGTGAACTTGGTCAGGAAAAATTACATCTTTTACATCTTTGCTTTAATACAGTTGCTTTCCTTTGTAATTCCATGTATTGTATTTTATGCATTTAAAATATTATTCTGAAAAAGGGTCCATGGGATTCATTTGATTCCCAGTGGGGTCCATGGCACAAAAAAAGGGTCAGCCTAGGTTTACAGCTCCCTAGGAACCTCCAGAATTTGTACTTTGCTGACATAACCTTCAAGAACCCAGGGTTACTCCACATCATAAGGTTAGCTTCCTTCTACTATGTAAGTATATATTTATGTAAGGCACTATTGCTTTGTATGTGGACAATTTGGTTGCTGAAAGGGAGTAGAAAAATAACATTTGTCTAAGGGTCACAGACAAAATCAGTTTGAGAAGAAAGACAATCCCTCACATAAAATGTTTAAGGAGAAACACAAACTAGTCTGAGGACCTAAGAGGAAACTGCCCCCTCAAATGAATGTAGTTGTTTGAAAGCAGAGCAATGACTGAGTTAAGATGGTTGTGATGCATGTGGTAATCAGGTTATTCACACATAGCTCTTTTCAGAGTTTTAAAGGATCTAGCTGAGAAAATAATTCTAACTGTTGGCGGACCATGAGAAGATTATGTAAGGATTGATGAAGTTATACCTATCAGGTGGGTTTTTTTTGAGTTTCATGTCATGTTACAGATGGCTCATTGCTTATGAGGCATTGATTTGCATCATTTGAAGCCAAAGAATAATATAGGCGATGACCAGATTAACATAGAAGCAATAAAAGAAGCTAAGATCAAGAGCAGGGCCTAGAAGACACAGAATACAGAAACTGCCAGGATCTGAGCTAATAGACCCTACAGCTGTTTTGCTGAGTGCCCTGTTGTTTGATAGAGAGGCACTGCTTTGCTAGTAGCTGATTGTCTCTAGAGAAAGACCAATTTAAGTCAGATAATAAAAATGATGATGATAATAATAATAGCTAAGATTTATAAAGTGCTTACTGTGTGCCAGGCACTGTGCTAATCACTTTACAATTTTTATCTTATTTGATCCTCACAATACCTCTGAAAAGTAGGTGCTATTATTATCCTTATTTTACAGGTAAGGAAGTTGAGGCAAACAAGGGTTAAGTGACTTGACCAGGGTGCTTTAGCTAGTAAGTATCTGAGACTAGACTTGAACTCAGGTCTTCCTGACTCCAGGCCCAGCAAGGTATTCATTGTGTCACATAGCTACTACCCAGAAATATACTCAACAGATGTAAGAATCTGATTTGGAGGAGAGATGATTCTTGTTGCTAGGTGGAAAGCTCTCAGGACTTATTGACCTCTAGCACCATCTACATCCAGAGAAGAGAGAAACCTCTCAGGGGTGCCTGTGTTGACCTTTACTGCCTTCTATAGCTTAAGAAAGGAGGAAGAAAGAGAAAGTCAGGCTTTGTAGCTGTTTTGAGTTATGTTAATACGTTAATAACACTTTCTCAGAGCCCTCCCAAAGGTGGCTGTGTGCTAAGAGCTTGACTCTGCTCCAACAGCCTGAGAATAGCAGGAGAAGGAAGAGCTGTTAAGATTAGAAAGGGAGCAGAGTGCAGAAAGGCAGTTTTGCCCAGCAGGTGATATAGCGCAGACTTCTTTAAAGAGACCAAGGAAATCAAAGTCTGCTATTCTGAGTTGTAAGTGGCCCCAGATGTACGGGTTTCCCTACTCATGTGCTTCCCTGTTAGATTTGGTAATTGTGTGCCCATTCTCCCCTATGGACACTATGTGCATTGGTGGAAGAATATGCCCCAGGTTTATGGGTGAAGTGTAATATTTTTATTATTTCTACTTTTTACTTCTGTCAAGTAAAAGACACAATTATTGCTGCTTTTGCCCTTTTGTTTAATAAACATTTCATGCCTAAGAATAAAAGGTGTTATTGTAACTGATTTTGTTTAAATGGGAACACAGGGTGGGGGCTCAAGAGCTACATTGGTGAGAGGTAAGTATGTAACTCCCTCACACGAGGACACCCTTAATTTTAAGCTGTGGCCACATGCTTACCTCTCTAGGTAACTATTCTGTTTGAAGTGAATATAAGTAGGATAAGCAAACCAATATCAGTCTAGGAAGAGAGAGGACCTCCAGAGAGTTGAGGGTCAGTACCATGCCTGGGCTACATGTATCTTGTATATACCTTCTTATTTACATTCTGGCTCTTCCATTAGTGTTCCATTAGTGCATAAGTTCCCTAAGGGCAGGGAATACTTCTATGTTATGGCTTTTCTTTAAATCCCTAACACTTAACACAATTCCTGGAGTAGACATTTAATAAATGCTTGTTGATTGATGAATGAAGGCATTGGAGTAAGACTTTAGGGGAGGCCAGCATACTATAAATAATATTAGATTGTAGATATGTCAATATTTGCATGAGAAACAATACATCAGTAAATGGAATGTCTAGAATTGTCTAGATCCAGGCTAGGAAAATGGAAAGCCCAGATGACGATGTGAGAGCAAACTTTTACAGAACTCTGGGTTTTAGAGAAAGTAAAGATTTTGAAACCACCCTGGGGCAAAGTGATGGGACAGTTCATAGTGTAGTAGCCAGGTAAGATCAGATTAGAATTTCATTGCTTCTCACTGAAGGCCATTTTAAAATAGTCAATTTGAAAAAGCTTTAAAAGAAATCAAAGCTCAAGGGAGTTAACTACCCAGGGAAGGGTGTGGTCAGTGCAAGGAAATTAAGTAATCCAGGGAAACTGTAGAACTAGAGTTTAGAAGTCTCTCCTGATTTATGTAAGAATGTGATACAGTGGAAAGAGGGCTGGATTTAGAGTTGGAGCACTCAGTTTGAATGCTACCTCTGCTAGCTACCTTTCACTACCTGTGTGACCTTGGCAAAGTCACTTACCCTTGCCGAGCCTTATTTGATCTATGATCTTATGAGTGTGGTAGATTTGGAGTCCAAGCAGAAAGGACTTTATTGCTCAGTTGATCAGATGAGGTATGACTGAGTATTCTGCTTTGATATATAAGGAAAGACAACTGGAAATGCATGTAAAAATCTGGTGTCCATGTACCTGTAACTTGCTTGTTCTGCAGAGAGTCCATTCTCCCAAGATTCTCCCCCACTGTAGTAAAATCCCCTCTCATTGCACTCAAAAGACTAAGCATTTATGCTTAAGTGGGTGTGACTGGGGAAGGTGCATTGCAGAAAAAATATTGGGGAAAGAACCACAGGGATATACTCAGGATTTTTGTGCCAGAAACCCCTAGTCCCCTGGGTAGTGATGGTATAAAGTTACCCAAGCAGTAGTGGCTTTGTTTTGATGCATGACATGGGAGGGGTGGGGTTGACACGGACTGGGATTCATGAACCTAGAATTAGCAAATTTTCCAAATTTAGGTAGCATGATAGTCAATCAGTCATTCATAGAACTAGATTAGAGAAACAAGGACAGAGAACAAAACCACTGATTACCCTTAATTTTCCTCATTTTTGGATGTCAACCTTTAGTTCTGGACTTCTGCAATAATCCAGAGATTGTGAACTCCATTATGAACACCTGTGTCCATTCATTAAAACGAGCAAAAGTGAAAAATCATTTCAGCCTCTTTTTGGTTCTTATTCAGGTTGCTTCTTATTATCTTATCTTCTGAAATGTGGCAAGTGAAAATTTAAGGAGTACTCCCAATTGTCAAAAGTCAATGCCTTTTAATGAAAAGGATGCAGAAAAGACAAAAAGCAGACAGCATTTTTTCCCAGTGCGTTGTTAGCATTTGTTCTTCATTAAACAATAACAGATTTCCATTAGCCTGAGTAATTCAAGAGCCCAATAACTATTGTCAAATGCTGAAGATGTTACTGCCTAAGTCTGATTTTGAGTAGCTATTTGGATCTTAATTATTAATGGGATTAGCCTTTTGTATGTCAGCAAGAGCACAGCCTAAGGTAAAAGCACTACAGGAAATCATATTAGAATAGAATTTCCTTTCCTTAGGGGCTCCCCTTAGATTCCATTATTCACTTAGCTTTCCTATGTCAGAGAAATTAAAATCTTGCCTGTGATCAGATCCCATAGGAAAAACCATGGAGGGAAGGTAGAGATGTGGCACTGGCATTAGTTCCAAAATGTTCAAATGATAGTTGTGTTGGCCTTTGGTCACATTTAGTGATTATAAAATAGCCTGGACAAAAAGCCGACACCATATGAAAAAAGAGCAGACCAGAGCAGAGTGCAGAGAAGCCTCCTTAGGAAAGAAAGGCTCTGTGTCATCCTTCAGCTAGCTGATAAACAATGCTTCCATTTGCTCCTTGAGGACCATCCGTTGAATGCTTAGGCGGGGGGTGATGGCAGCTCTGTTGTCACTTGTCTTGGTGGCAGTCTCAGGTAAGTGGCTTTAATGGTTAATGTGTGTCAACTCTTTAAAAACCATGAGTTGTCTTTTTATACACTATGCTGTACACGCTCTCCTGATTGCTCGTTTCATTAGCCATCTGTAAAATGCCAGCACTGAGAAGATATATAGAGACCAATCATTCATTTAGGACTTTGTGGTTTTAATTGGATACCCATAGATATATGCTTTTATACCCATTATAGATGAGAAAAAAGAATCCGAAGTGTATTGTTTTAATGATTTAATTAGTGACTGCTTTTCTAAAAATCAAGTCCTATTTGCAGTTATTCTCATAGATAGCTTTTGGGTATATTCTATTTTTAAATTCATTTCCACATTTGGGTAAAAACAAAAACAAAAACAAATAAACATCCTTATCCTTCTTAATCGTCTTGCGTCTAGAAGCCCTGTAAATGTTTTCCAGTGGTATACCATGTCCTCAGAGACTTGAATATTCTTTTGTTACTACAATTTTATCTCAAGCTTTATAGAGCACAGTTCTAGGGGTGGGCATTATTCTAAAGCAGGTCATTGTGAATCTAAAAAATCATTTCTCCAACTGAAAAAAAAAGTTACCCATCAAGAAGAGTAACTTTTCTACACCTTGTTGTTTCTATTTCAGCATTAGCAATATTAATTCTACTTGGTTGAAACATTTTAGTGGGATTAGGGAATTCTCTTGACTTTACACTGTCATCTAGAAGTATCTATGTTCGTTTTGTTGCTTTCCCAGTTGGGGTATAGGAATCCTAGAGGCCCCGATAGAGCACTCCAAAAATTCTGGTGGAAATAATGTGGGTTGTCAGAAACTAATGTGGTGACCTGTAGGTGGATGGAAGAAAAGAATAAAGACCTACTGCTCCCCAAAGATAGTGCAAGGAGTCCAGGAAGGTTGAATTTAAACTGGAAGAAATTTTAAAGCATAAAAAAAAAGTAGGGGCAGATTTAAAATTTAAGTGCCAAAAAGAGGATTCAGAGCAGACAACTATGAATCCCAAAACACAGACTTATAGAGGCTGACAGAATATAGAAGCTTTGTATTCTGCAAAAAAGATAATAACGTTAAGAAAACTTAAAAAAAAAACTTTTCATACTTCCCCGATTTTTCGTGGTTTGTATCATCGGTAATTTAAGTCTCAAAAGTCAGTATGGAAAGTGCTTCACAATTGGTTCCAGCATAAATCAGGCACAGAACTTTTGTTGCAGTAATAGAACTCCTTTGGGGTTTAGCTGGGTTAACATAAAGTTGATTTGTAAATGCAAAAGGATTGAACAAATTATCAGTGAATATTTACTGTCTTGTGAAAAATATAGGAGTAGTTCTTTAACTCCAAGATTTTCTGCCTAATTATACTTTTTACTTTCTATCTTAATATAGGAATTTTTTTTAAAGATCATTCATTTATGCTCCCAATAAGCTCTTCTTTAGCCTACCCCAAGATCAGTTCACATCCTTGGGGTCTATTCCCTTCCAGTTCTCAGGCTTAGGTTCATTACAATACTGAAGAAGCCACAACTAAAATGAAGAAAGACCTCTTCATTGAAGTGACACAACCAAATGGGTGCAAGATACACCTATAACTGGGGACAAGAGCAAAGCATTGCAAGCTGTGCCTTATTCATCAATGAGCTGTGCCCACTCATCAAAACAAAGAAAACTGAGACATAATTTAATTTTCTTTCTCTTTTATTTTTGGTGCCCTACTATACTTAAAAGTACTTTGAAACTCTTTCCTTCACAGATTTTACTTCTAGGAGATTCTTCCCTGAAGACAAGTAAAATATTCCAAGTTAAAAAAATTAATATTCAAGGAGACAATGGGGCCAGGAATCTTTCCTAGCCTTGTTCTTGATGGCGTCTATCAGTGTCTGTTGAAATATCTCTGATCTCTGAGTCATTTAGTACTTCTGTGAATGTCACATTAGCTTTCATTGGGGCATAATTTACTGTTAATTAATGGTCACTTAAATTCTTAATCTCCTCCTTGTAATTGATCTTTCTTCTCAGGCAAATTGGCATTCATAGTAGAAATGTAATTAATTATTATTTCTTCTTTTAAAAAAAATAGTCTTCCCCTAGAACACAAAAGCAATCCAATCGTTCATTATCTTTCTTCTGTAATTTTTTATTTCGTCTATATTGCTAGTTCATTTCTTTCTGTTATTTCCTTTTTGCCTCTTCCTAAAGCATTTTTATGTTTTTATCCTTCGCTGGAAATTCATACAGATATTTTCTGACAGCTTTTAGAAAACACATGTCCTACTCAAATCAGGCCCAGAATATTTGGAATGTGTCCTAAGAAATAATGATGTTGGGGAGATGGGCTGGCTCATTCATTCCCCAGGACTGTGTCTCCTTTCAGTCTTTAACTATTTCCTTCACACTAACACATAAACCCATCAGTGTTTCCCTATCTGAAACCTGAATTTGGATCTCCCTAATGAAGCAAAAAGGTGAGCTATCCATTGCCAAGCTATCAGGAAGGACATCAGAGAAGCCTCATTGGAAATCCTGATTCATCACCCCTGGTGTACTGTCATCTAAAAAGTCCTATCAGGCAGTCTGATCCATGAATATTTTCCCTGGCTATATACACTGTATATTTTGACAATCGCTGTTCAAAATAACCCTAAAAATGGTACTCAAATTCAGTCTCTCCCTTCCCACCCCTGCCTGCATAGCTGAATAGCTGATGCTGCTGTTCAGCATCTTCTTGAGAGCATAGTTAGGAAGTAAAATGCTCATTAGATTCCCAGCTCTGATGATAATGAAGGTGAATATTCCACTGCCCACAATGAGCCTGGAACTGTACCTCCAGCACAATTGTGTTAGCATTTTGGTCACAGTGACATTGATAAATCATAGAAATTGCTGCCTGTGGCGGCAAGTGACACGACATCATTCATAAAGAAATGGGTATAAACAGGATTGTCGCACAGGGAGAAGATATCTCATTTACAGTTTCCTGCTGGATCCCTCATACCTTCAGCAGCTCATCAAAATAACCATCAAAACCACTGAGAGCCCAGGCAAATGCATGCCCAGGACACTCCAGATTAGATTTCACTCACGCACTTTGGCAGGAGGTGTGCAATTTGCTTCAGTCCAATGACTTAGCGAAGCTTCAAGTTCCCCAAGGGCTAGCAAAGCTTGTGAACAAAATATCTTTCTGCAATTCAGAGAAAGCATTCACAAATTTGTCACTTACAATTGTTGATGTTCATTTCTCTTGCTTCCCATCCCCGCCCCCAGTCGTTGCCCTTCCAGCCCTTCTATGAATCAAGATTCCTGGCACATAGGAAACAATTTTTTTCCCTGGATCCAGAGAGAATTTTCTCAAAACAAAGATTACATTTTCTGACAAGTGCATTTTTATTTAACGAGCCAAAAGAGATAAGATTTTTCAAGTAGAAAAGTATGAAACAAAAATCACATTAATTCAACCTTACTCATCTGTGTTCATTGATTTCCATAATCAACAAACATTTATTTATTAATTGCCTGTTATGTATCAGAAATTGCACGGGGCTCTGGGAATACAAAAACAAAGCCAGAACAGTCCTTGCCTTCAAAGAGCTTTTGTTCTATGGAGGCATGCATAATTTTCCCCCCTCCTACCCCTCTCTCTCACCCCATATATCCAACCAATTACCACATTGTGTTCATTTCTACCTCCATGCCATCACTCAAATCCATTCCAGTCTCTCTACTCATACTACTACCATTATAGTTCAGACCCTTATCATCTTTGAACTATTGCAATACTATCCTAATTGGTCTCCCTGCCTCAAGTCTCACCACTCCCAGTCTATCTTCTAGAAGCACAGCTGCTAGCTAGAGTGATATTCTGAGAGTGTAGCTCTAACCAAGTCATTCCCCCTACTCAATAAACTCCAATGGCTCATTATTGCCTCTGGGATCAAATAGAACCTCCTCTGCTCAGCTTTAAAGCCTTTCACAACCTATTCCCTTACTACCATTCCAGCCTTATACATTCCCCCGTTTCCCACACTCTATTGTCCTGCAAATAGTCTTCTTGTTCTTTCAGCCATTTCCAGATGTATAAATGCCTAATATCACTCCCTTTTCACCTCTACCTCTTCAAATCCCTTATTTCCTGCAAAACTTATCTAGACACACCTTTGACATGAAGCCAATTGCTAGTGCCCTCTCTTTCCCCCAAATTACCTTGTATTTATTTCATATCCATTTTATGTATATGTATATGTGTTGTGTGTGTGTGTGTGTGTGTGTGTATGTGTACATACATACATATATATGTACAATCTCCCCTGATCAAATGTAAACTCCTTGAAGCCAGGGATTGTTTCATTTTTGTCATGGATCTGCAGTGCTTAGTACTGTACCTGGTACAAAGCTGGTGTCTAATAAATGCTTGTTGATTAATAGCATCTAGGTAGCAGGATTGTTGTAAACATTAATCAAATGAGGTAACATGTTTAAAGCACTTGATAAGTCTTTTTTTCTTTTTGCTAGGCAATGGGGTTAAGCGTCACACAGCTAGTAAGTGTTATGTGTCTGAGACTGGATTTGAACTCCGGTCCTCCTGAATCCAGGGCCGGTGCTCTATCCACTGTGCCACTTAGCTGCCCCACTTGATAAGTCTTAAAGTTCTATGTAAATGCTCACTATTATTTTTAACAACAACAATAATAACTGGGGAAAAGTACATGCAGAATTATGTGTAATATGTATTCTGGGTAATTTGGGAGGGTACAAGGTGCTAGCACTTGAGGGATCAAGGAAGTCTTCTTGTAGAAGGTGGTGCTTGAATTGAGTATTGAAAGAAATTATGAATTCTGAGAGGTGTGGTCTGGTGTTCCCTACTTTTCCAGTCTTACTTCATGCCATGTATTACCTGGCCATGCATTCTGTGCTCTACCCAAATCAGTTTCTTTTGATCCTTAAAGCCTCTAAATCCTTAAATCCTCTAACCTTTATGCTTTTACTTTTGCTATTCCTTATGCTTGGAATATTCTTCTTTTCCTTCTTTACTTGTTCAATTTCTTTTGTTCTGGCACTTTTCAGTCATGTCTGATTTTATGATCCTGTTTGGGGTTTTCTTGGCAAAGAAACTGGAGTGGTTTGCCATTTCCTTCTCCAGCTCATTCTACAGATGAGGAACTGAGGCAAACAGTGTTAAGTGACTTGCCCAGGGTCACACAGCTATAAATATTTAAGGTCAGATTTGAACTTGTGATGCGTCTTCCTGATTGCAGGGCTGGCACTCTACCCACTTCACCACCTCGCTGTCCTACCCACCTACTTCATGGAGCCCTTCTTCATACCTTCCAGTTGGTAACAACCTTTTCCCCTCTCAGACCTCACATAGCATTTTATTTTGGATCTCTCTAATGAACTTAGGTATACTTCTCTATTATAATCGTATATGGATATATCTTATCTCCCTCTTAGACTATAAATTCCATGAACACAGTGACCATGTCTTAAATATGCTTTTTTAAATCTCCATCAGAATCTAGGACAGTGCTTTGTATATGGTAGGCACTTAATAAACGTGTGTTGAATAGTTTCCCTTAGTTTTTTAGGTTCACACAATAGCTGATTGCCAGGATTCTGTGGCAACTGTCCCAGAAACACATGAGAGTAAGAAAGAGTTCAAAAGAGCAAGGTTATTGCTAACCTTAGGAGAGAATCATCATTGTCCAACCACTTAGTATATTCTATGCTTTAGACTCAATCATCGTTAAGTCTGACCCATTCATGACTTTACACAGGAATACACAGCACAGGACAATACAAATACAAGTGTGAAGGGAAAACCACGCACCTGGGGAGTCTAACCAGACTCCCTAGAGCAGCACTGCTCAGTCACAGTGTAGTCTCACCTGGCTTTCATGCCTGTCAACACACTCAGCTTTATGGTCACAGTATAAGGACCAATTTAGGAAATACCAACCCAGGTCTGGACTATTTCTATTTTTATTAGCTCAGGCCAACTCAGAGTAGAGGAGAAGCTTGTCAGGAGCTTGTTCTGAAACGGCTGCCTCTCTGATTTCTCGTAATAGTATCACAGAATTTATGACTTTAGAGATGTTAGAACTAATCTACACACACACACACACACACACACACACACACACACACATGCTCGAGTAAACGAGGCCCAGTGAAATGCCTTGCCTAAGATCACATAACTAGAAAGTAAAGGGCAAAGATTCAAACCCAGACCTCCAAATTCAGCTCTCATAAGGTCCCTTCACCTCCATGTGTGGGAGCTGGAAGGGCATGGTGACCCAGCTTTACTCTATCTACCCAGGGGAAACTGATTTGCACCCAAAAGAACTTAGAACATCATCCCCCTATTCATGGACCCCAAACCATTGGTTATTGGTTAACCGCCATCCCAAGGGGGGGCTGGTACAAGCTGCTCAAGGTCTGTATCATGTGTCTCAATACTTCCATGTCTGGCACTCTCTTCCTGTGGATCATCTTTGCTGCCCTTCTCTTGGACCTTTGGGAGGTAAGTCTCAAACTGGCTTCTTCTTATCCAGTGCTAGGTCTTTCCCTGCCTTCCCTGATTCTTGTCCCAAGCTCACCGGCCCTGTCAGGCTAGATCATTAGGGGAAAACATGGGAAACCAAGACCCTGACCAATTAGGTATTACCAAGTCCTCATTGGGGACTTAGATATCTGATTGCCCCCTAGCTATCCAGGACTAGAGCCCTCCTGTTACCCAGTAGCTCCAGTTAGTCTGATATTAAGCCTGTTTCTTTTTGTCTGCTCACTTAGCTCTATGTTCCAAATCCCCAAGCAATAGGATGTCCTGCTAAACAGTACTTTAAGAAATTAGGTCTTTTTGAAACACTTCCATCAGCACTGCCTCTTCCTGGACCAAAATGGTTCTCAGTTGGGAATTCATTAAAAATGGGGCTATCAAAGCCCATCTTCCCTGTCAGAGTCCCCAAATTCTGCTTCTGAGAGGAATGCCTCCAAACTTCCAGAAACTCCATCTCCATAGTTTACCAGCAGGGAGCTGCCCTCCTCCATCAGAGTAATGTTCCAGTCTAGGGCAGGGTGATGATACTCCCTTCTTTCCCCTACTAACAACCAACCTTGCTTGCTTTGTTGAAGATGAGGTTTTAATCATCAGCCCACAATGGCCTACAAAGACCATTGTCTGCTCATCATTCTCGGACACATGGTGCAAAAACCACAAGTTAGGGCAACAGCTGCAATTGTAGCTGTAGAAGCTGATGGAACGGTCACAATCACACACATGAAGTCCTGCTGTGTCACAAGCTGAGCAGCCACCCCTTTAATTTTAAGCACTATCAAATCCTATAGGGTTATAGGATTGGTAGAATTTGTAGTGTTAGTTTTACTTCTCAAGCTCCTACAACCCTCAGCTGCCTTGGTTCTGTGACCTCTGACATGGACACCATTCAAGAGAATAGGAAAGTGATTTAAAGGTTGTTCTGGGTTCAGTTTAGTAATTTTTTGATTGTGTCCAACTCTTTGTAACCCTATTTGGGATTTTCTTGGCAAAGATACTGGAGTGATTTGCCATTTCCTCCTCCAGCTTATTTTACAGATGAGGATCTGAGGCAAACATGGTTAAATTACTAATCTTATATTAGAGTCATTACTGCCCACTCATTGGTATATTCTGTATCTAAGACTTCAAATAGTTTCCAGTATAGTCCAATGCAAAAGGCTTTTCCTATAGACACTTAAAAAACTGGGGAACCCAACACAAATTTATAGGAAAAATCACTGAGGTAACCTGATTCCCAGGGCAGCTAGGTGGATAGAGTGCCAGTCCTGAAGTCAGGAAGACTCACTTCCTGAGTTCAAATCTGGCCTCAGACACTTACTAGCTGAGTGACTCTGGGCAAGTCACTTAACCTTGTTTTCCTCAGTTTCTCATCAATAAAATGAGCTGGAAAAGGAAATGGCAAACCACCCTCAGTATCTTTGCCAAGAAAACCCCAAATGGCATCACAGGGAATGAGACAGGACTGAAATGACTAAACAATAACAACAAAAACCTCTTATTCCTAAGAAGTACACTGCTCTGCCACAGTGAAGGCTCACTTGGCTACCTTGCTTACCCTCCCATCTACACGTTAAAGAATAGGAAATAGCAGCCTAGAGGCTGGAACTAGCTCTGTTTTTATAAGTTGCCTCTTAAAGGCCTCAGAGGAAAGCTAATGTCCTCCTTATGGATATTGGCAACAGCTATACCTTCTTGCTGTCAATTTCAATTGACTTGCTTCCCTGATTGTAACACTCTTCATGCTATTCTTTAAAATTTGTTGAATGAGATTCATAGAACATGAAATAAAAAATCTAAAAAGAATAAATGTAGCATTTGAAAGAAAGAATTCAGTAAAGGTTGAATTTTGCCAAAAGGAGCTTTCGAAAGGTCCAAGATGATGCCCTTTCTATTTAGTCACTGACCAAGAATAGTGCCAATTATCAATATATAGCCAATCTTTAGGTTCTTGAAAGGGTGAGAAGGAATTTTATGTCCTGGGCCTCCTGCAAAAAACTAGAAGCATTGATTTGTTCATTTGTTTTTGCCATAAGATTTAGCCCCTGGGAATTTAAACCACCGACTTAGTTTGGATAAGGGACCTTGAGACTCCAAATAGCTGAGAAATGCCAGTACATTTAGAGTTTTACAATAACTAACAATAGAAATGTTAGGCCAAAAATGAGAGAAGAAAAATGTCAGCTCTACCAAGGACTATCAAATCTTGAAACCATTAATATCCCTCAGAAAGTTTCTGTCCAGTGCCCTGCATTCCTCACTCTCTCCTCTTACTGATCACTAATCTGCATCTAGCGCCTCCTATTCTAACCTCTTGCTAATGGTCACAGATCTGTATCTAGTGCTTCCCATTCTCACTTCTTACTGATGGTCATAGGTTTTCTTTTCAGGGATCCTAATCACAGATACTCATCATCTCAGCAATTCGACTCTTTATCGCTTGACCCAAATGTTGCTGCAGAACTATCATAAGGGAGTGAGACCGGTTCAAAACTGGACTCAGGTCACAACTGTTTACCTGGATTTATCAGTCCATGCTGTATTGGATGTGGTAAGGACCATTTCTCTTACCTTTTATTTATATCTGGTAGCTCCTTATAAAACTTTGTGCTAATCATACCTGAACATAGTAGGTGCCGTATAAAGGAAGTTCCAGTTGAAATGGAAGGGAGCTTTATGCCAGATACATGTCATTGGGGATTCTGGATCAAAATTCCCACTAGACAAAGCCCCCACTGATGCTGAGAAACAGACAACTTAGAGGAATTAACTGGTACATATTCAAAATGCTTTACAAAGAAGATTCTCTAAGCTAGGACCAGGCTTTTGTGAACCTTGAGTAGGATTTGAAAATAACAAATGCTCTTCTTCCCTCATCAAAACATGGACACAGTATTACCTCTAAAAAGAATAGTTGTGTTACAACAATAGTTGTCCTCCACAAGTTTTGAGCCTTCCATATTACTCATGACATGAACAAGCACAAAATAAAATACCTACCTGTCATGGGAAACTGCACTTCCTAGATTAAAAATATGTACATTTTCAAAAGGTAATATTAAAAATATCCCTTATCATGACCCTAACTCTGTGTGTAGGTTTGCCCATCTTGCCTATTCCTAGCCTCAGCTTTAGCATGTGCCATAGACATGCAAAGCATTCATAAGAACTACAAAGACAAAAGATAGCCTTCCTTTCCCATGCTTAAGCATTTGCCTAGTGATAACAATCTAATGGAGAGAATATTCACTTGTGATCATCTAAAATTAGGAATAAAGAAAGAAATACTCAGTGTATATAAAATGACTCAAGTGTTTCAATACTTAGAGATACTCCTACCTAACACACTTCCCAAGGCTGGGTAGAGCCGATTCTAAGATAGCTGTTTTGGTTTTGGTTTTTGCTTTTAGTCACAGAAGACTTCCTAATTACAAGATAATAAGGGGAAACAGTCCATATAACTTAGATCCCAGATTAATTTAAAAGTAGATTTTTGCCAAATCCACTATTTTAAAATGAGACAGAGTGAGTATAGTTTTAATGGATATATATTGGCTTTAAGTGCTGTGCTTTGAGCCTAAGTACTTTTGCCTTGACTTATCAGATGAGTATTGAGCATTGAAATTGATGAGAAAACAAATACAAGACTTACATTTTAAATGATAGAAGTTACAGTAAGATTTTTTGTTGTACTTGTTATTTAGTCCAAGCAATTTTAATATAGATTTCGCACTAATGTTTAATATGGCCCTAAACCAGTTAAATAACATGTTTCATGTCACTGAAAAAAGAAATAGAATTCTCCTTCTGTCAACTAGTTGTACTTTTCAAACAATCAATAAACATTTATTGAGCACCTGCTATGTGCCAGGTACTGTACTAAACACTGGGGATACAAAAAGAGGCAAAAATCTCTGCTACCAAAGAGTTTACAATCTAATAGGGGAGACAACGTGCAAAAATAAACAAAATTATACAAAGCAAACAGCTATATATACAGAACAAATCAGAAATCATTACCAGAGGGAAGACTAGAATTAAGAGGGATTGGGGAAGGGTTCCAATAGAGAAGGAATTTTAGTTGGGATTTAAAGGAAGTCAGGGAGGTCAGTAGGCAAGCAGAAGAGAGAGAGCATTCCAGACACGATAGACAACCAGATGGTACAAAGGTGAAATCAACAGGCCTTGGCTTTTGATTTGATATGGGGGTAGGGGGGTGAGAGATAGTGAGGAGTTGTGAGCCCGAGGGACTAGAAGGATGGTGTTGTCTTCTACGGTAATAGGGAAGATAGTAGGGGGAAAGGTTTTTCCAGCCTCTTTTTCATGCACAAAATAGGTGAACTGAAGATCCTGAAAGATGTTTAATTTAATTCCAGCTAATAGCCCCCTAAGAAAGGCCCAGGGTTAACCAAGCTCTAAATTGGAACTCCTTTGAGACAGTTTCCTAAATGTAAATTTGGAGCCCTGGGACATTTCCTCAACTGTATAAAGGAGATACTACTACTTGGAAATTTTGTTACTGAGTTGTCATGGCATCATTTAACAGGCTTGGCCAGATTGGATCATCAGTACAACTTGGCCAAGGAAACACCATATGAACTGTGTAACTACGCAGTCTAGCCCTAGAGCTATAGCTAAGGCGTTGAGACTTACTTCCTCTACTCTTTTTTTTTTCCTAGTCTCACACTATTTAAGATAAGATAGAATTGCTTGTGTTTCTCTTTGGGCCCCAACAAATTCTGCATTTGTAGTGTTTGCCTATCTCCAAGACATAAATGCTCATACTAAAATTTAACAATTGACTCTCAAAAGCCTGTTCCAGCTTAAGTACCCCCCTGTAATCAAAGAATATTCCATGCTTTCAGGCTCTGTGTCATGCATTGCCAACTACTTAGTAGCCATCTCCTTTTCATCAGTATCTCAAATTCAACATGTGCAAAATGAAATTCCTTATCTTTCCTGACTAAATCATCTTGTCTTCCACACTACCTCAATTTCTGTTGAGGGTACTACTCTCCTCCAGGTTACCCTGGTTTGCAACCTCAGAAATATCCTTGACTCTCCCCTCTTCCTTATTCCCCCCAGCCGATTAGTTGCTGAGTCTGATAGATTGCACCTTAAGAGTTACCTTTTTTTTTTTTGGTGAGGCCATTGGAGTTAAGTGACTTGACCAGAGTCATACATCTAGTAAGTGTTGTGTCTGAGGCTGAATTTGAACTCAGGTTCTCCTGACTTCAGGGCCAGCACTATCCACTGCGCCACCTAGCTGCCCTGAGTTACCCCTTTTGTATAAGAACATTTCTGCTACTGAAAAGGGCAGAAAAAGAATATTTGTGTAAGGGAAAATGACAAAATAAGTTTGGAAAGAAACAGCCTCTCAGGTAAAATCTTGAGTAGAGACTTCTATGAGGACCTGAGAAATACCCCTTTAGATAAATGTACTAAGAGCACCTATTTGAAGGTACTGTGCTGATTCAGTTAATGATGGCTGCAGGCATTGTGGTCCATCAACATGTGACTATTTTCAGAGTTTTGAACTTTATTATAATTAATAACTCATAAGTCAATTAACTTTTGGGGGACTATGGGAAGATTACATAAAGACTGTTGAGGTCACACCTGATAGGAAGATGAATTTTTTTTTTTAGTTTGATATCTTGTTAAAAGTGGTTAGCTGCTCATGACAAGGCCCTGATTTGAGACATGAAAAGCCAGAAGAAAGGGAAGAAGGAGAAGGCATAAGATGTGTAGTAGATGACCAGATGATGATAGGAGCAAGAGAGGAAGCTGAGCCCAGATGGAATTGGGGAAAGAAGCCATAGTTGTTGATAGGAGGAGTTGTTTATGGAAAACAGAAGATAGGTGACTATAGGACCTGGTCGAAGCTGATAGGTAGGAGCTGCAGATCTTCTGCTGGGGATCGGGATGATTGGGAGAGAGGCTGAGGAGCAACTTTCTCCTAGGTCCTCAGAGCCTATGTCTCTCTTCAACATTTAATGAAAGTCTGCATATCTTCTCCAGCCTATTTTTCTGTTTTCTTTTCATGAATGTTCTTTTCTGCCCCCTTTTAGCAACTAAAACATCTATATTTGTGAGGATCAAATGAGATAATATTTGTAAAGTACATAGCACAGAGCCTGGCATATAGTAGATGCTTAATAAATGCTTATTCCCTCCTTTCCCCTTATTACCTATGTGACTTTGGGCAAGTCATTTAACCCTTCCAATCCTCTTTCCTTATCTATAAAGCAAGAGATTTGGACTAGATTAACTCTAAGATTCCTTTTAGCTCCTGCGTTCTTATGACTTCTTATTTGGGCTACTGTAATAAATAATTGGCATCTTTGCTTCTGATCTCTACTCTTTCATATTAATCCTTTGCAGAGCTGTCAAAAGAACCATCCAGTGACACAGGTCAGACTGTGCCACGGTCTCCTCAAACATCTTCTGTGCTGCCCAACAGCCTCTAGGATACAATAAAAACTCCTCAGTCCAACAGTGCAAGTCCTGCACAGTCAGAATCCAACCTACCTTTCCAGCTTTATTTCATTTTATTTCCTTTCATGAAAACTATATTTCCACAACTCTAGTCTTATTACTGGTTTCCTAAGCATAGCATTCTATCTCCTGACTCATGGTTTTTGTGCCTGTGCCTAAAATGCCCTTCCTCCTCAGCCTTGCCCCCTTGGAACCTCTATCTTCCTTCAAGGCTGAGCTCTGGCATGACTTTTTCTGATAAGTATTCTCAACGCCCCAAGCTATTAGTGCCCTCTCCCTCCTTAAAAAAATTCTTGATTTTACTTATCTGTTAGTGTACCTGTCATATCAGCTTAGTAGAGTGAATATAAGCTTCTCATGGGCAGGAACTTTCTCTTTTGTCTTTATAACCTCAAGAGGATATCTAGTATGGCTCATTGCACATAGTTGGCACTTAATAAGTGTGTGATTAAATGTTATTTCCTATGCCAGGAATGCCCTTCTTTCCTTAACTTCATTTTTGCAAATTCCTACCCATCTTTTCTTTTTTTTTTTTTGCTTTTTTTGGTGAGGCAATCAGGGTTAAGTGACTTGTCCAGGGTCACAGAACTAGTAAGTGTCAAGTGTCTGAAGCCCATTTGAATTCAGGTCCTCCTGACCCAGGCCTGAGCTCTACCCACTGTGCCACCCAGCTGCCCTGCCTACCCATCTTTCAAGGCTCAATCTTTAAATGCTACATCCTCCAAAGTCACCGCCAGTCCCTACTTCCTTGCCCAAACTGAAATAATCTCTCTCTCATCTGAACTACTTTAGAACTTTGCTGATACTTTTATAGCTCTTTTCACATATTGCTCTGTTATGTTTACTCATGCACATGTCTTAACTATCCCTGAGAAAAAAGGCTATGTCATAGTCAACCTAATGCCTCTCAATTAAAATGTATCTTTTGCCTTTCTTAATATCTCCAGCGCTTAGCATAGTGCCAGGCATATAGTAGGCACCTAATAAATGTTTGTTGACTGAATGAATGGAGAATTGCCATGTCACTTCCAGTTATTGTCTTTATGTCCATCTTGGCTACTCCGAATATGTCCTGAAATGTCAGTAGCTTACATTTATATAGTACTTAAAGATTTATGAAGTGCTTTTCATTTATTTGCTTATCTGATAATGAAAAATCTGCATTGCCCATTGGAAGGTTAAGGGCAAGGTTGTTGGTACAGGAAATGAGTGCTATCAAAAGCTTCAAAAGACTTGATGCTATGCAGACTCCACTCAAGAAAGGCTACTCCCAATGTAAATAGAGCGGCCTGCTGATAACTTTTGTTAGGAGTGAAGAACTCATGGCCCAGCTTTCATCCCTGTACCTCACTTCTACTGTGATGGTGTTCCTCCTGTTTTGTTTATATAAAAGACTACAGTCTTGTTTGAGAATATCTGGGTATTATGAGTACCTTAGGGAAATCTGATTATACAGATAATCTACTCAACAGTGAAGAGTTCCAATTTGTTTCTATTGAGTTTTGTCAATTCCAAATCCCAGATACCTTTGTATTCCAGTCCATTGACTAGAGCCTCCCAGCCAGACGTTGAGGCATCTGTTTCCATAGTCTCCGGAACTGGGAAAGATAAATAAGAATGTGGAGGAATTATCTGTATATTTGCTAACCACCAATTTAGATCTAAATAGGCTCCCTCTGTTAGGAAGACTAATGAATTCCAATTCTCTGAAATATCCTTTGCTTTTAACAAGCAAGATGGAAGGTATCTGAAAAAAAAAAAAAAAAAGATACGCAGGGAAAGAGCTGTGAATAATGCCACCAGAGAACCAATTATGTTCACCAGCTGGCATTGAGAAACTTGTTTCCTTTGACTAAAAGATTTTCGTTTTAGCCTCAAACTCCCTTTTTTGACATTGTGTTATTTGGGTTTGGAGAGATGAAGCCTACCCACCCCCATCAGGCAGGCATTAGGGAAAAATCCTCGAAAGTAAAAGCAATTGAGCAGAGAAGTGGGCAAGAAGAGAGAAATGAAGTAAGGCACCATCGCTGCAGACAATCAAGAATGTAATGGATAAAATAATCGTGAGAATAAAGCAAAACGGTGAAAGGACCCCTCTCCCCATCCTCATGACTTTGATTTGATGAAAGAACTTTTCCAACTTAAATTAAAGGGGAAGGAGGAAAAGGTCAACATGTACATTTAATTGATGTAAAGAGATCATTTATTGTGAATAAGATGCTGTCAAGAGACAGACTAAAAATTTAAGTACCTTTAGGCTGAAATTCTCAAAATTAACTTCTAGGTCTCCCAACAATGGCTACAGCATTAGACCTTATTCTCTCCAGCTGGGGAGTTCCTCATTGCAAAATGGAACTAGGATTAAAACCTCCATTCTTGTGCTTTTGTGGGGAAGTGTGCAAGGAAGGACATTCCATGATCCCCAAGCTGATGGGAATGACAATGAGTTATTCTCACCTGGTCTGAGCTTTAATAAAGGTTTTATCTCAACTGCCAGGACATGAGCTGAGCCTATTTTGGCTAAGAGTTACCCTTTATAGTGGCTACAAGCTGTTCCACTGGGAATTACTGATGAATTCAATCCTAGGGAACAGGTCTCCAAAACCTGACTGTCTCACAGCATCCATTTAGCAGACATGAAAGATTGCAAACATGATCCATCTAGACTCACTCACCTTTGTCGAGGTACTAAAGCAGGGCATCCCCACAGCTGCTTAAAACCCTGTCTTTTCTCCCTTCCTCTGAAAGATTTCAGCAACAGCGCTTCCATTTTCTTAATGGCAAAAGGGGACTTCAGTTTTCTAGGTTATAATATTAACTTCAAACGACAACTATGCCGAGTGAAGTTGAGGGTAGGGAGGAGGACAACACCACATCGCAGCATAACTGATCTTATGCTTTCAGTCCAGGAGAAGGAAAAAACCTAGTAAAGGCCGACTGCCAGTTGCTTTCAAAGCACCAACACAAGAGCTATGATTTGTTATTTACTGAGAACTGGAATGCCCTAAACACCATACAAAATACAAAAGAAGACTGGGCTCTTGCCTATCGCAACGGCTCCTGGGCTTTGAGCCAAGATCAGACCACAAAATAACAGTGGGACATGAAAACAGCAGGTTAGAATGTGTACAAAAGAGTACTTTACATTTCATATTTCTTCATCTTGGATTTTGTTCTCCTTTCCCTATTTTTTTTCTCTCTGAAGGCATAGGCTTCATTAACAGTTTATCATTGAGAGGCAAAAAGAAGATGTGAGTTTGTGAAGATCCCTTTAACTGCAAATATCTGTCCTCCCCCCACACATTCCCTAGAAACCCTTTCAAGACCGTGGGCTGTTTTTCCCTCTCCTCCTCACTGCTGCTCTTGTCCCAACCCCCAGTAGCCTGGCAGTTTTAGGATTTTCTTCACTGGAGTCCATCTTGAGAGATAGTAGTTTTTAAAGATGATCACTGACTCATTGGAGGCCTCGGGGAATTGCATTTGTCATGTCATCCACAATGCACTTTATTTATGTTCAGCCTATTCAGCCTCTTTCAGGAACAGGAAAATCCATACATAGTGTGACTTAATATGAGTAACTGCCTGTAGCAGCTGAAACAACATACTTTAAAAGATCATGAATAATATCTTGATTACAAATAAAAGCTCACTCTCATATTTTTAGCCCAGGATTGGCTAAGAATATATATTATTCTTCATTCTGATTAATGGCAGAGTAACTAATTAGAGTGGAAAAGAAACTAGTGATTCGTTCAGAGTGTCAAGTGCAGTCAAAGTGCCATTTTGTCACAGGTAATATAGTAAAGCTCATAGAGGCAGGTGTGCATAATAAATGGGAACTTAAGAGAGCCAAGAAGAGTCAAGGTGATGCTTAAAAAATCAGGATTGCTTGGTGAGATCTGATTTCTTTCCTCCTGAAATGACACATCACTGAACTCAGTCTTTGATGTATTGACATTCTGAAATTTAATGTGGTATTCAAACATTTCTATCTTTCTTTTTGACCCTGCAGGACGCACAGAATCAAAAACTAAAGACTAGTGTATGGTACCAAGAGGTAACTGAGCACGTTTCCTTCTATGCATGCTGGAATCCTGATCTAGAGCTGATGTGAAGATATAATTATGCTAATAAAGAATATACGTCATTCACTTATTATTTACCTTCATTGCTTGGATGTAGTGCTTGACGCATAGTAGACACTTAACAAGTGCTTCCTTGTTTGATACATGATTAGCCAGGGCTCGAACGCCAAACTCACCTTATTGAATGCCATATGAAATGTATGTTTACTATTTCTGGTTTAGGGCTAACCATCCTCTGTATGATTGGTGTTGAGTTGGAGAGGAAGGGGAGAAATCTACTTACTTTATCCATAGATAGCACCCAGGGCTTATCAACCTAAACTTCTTCTCTGCTCTTTAGCAATGCTACGTGTTGACAAGTTTCTTCTCTGACTCCTTACAGATTTGGAATGATGAGTTTTTAGCCTGGAACTCCAGTATGTTTGATGGGATAGGAGAAATCTCCCTTCCACTGAGTGCCATCTGGGCCCCAGATATCATCATCAATGAATTGTATGTGGAGTTGGTTCTGTTTCCATGGGGCATAGACTGGTTAGAGCACTCAGACCAATGGCTATTTATTTTCATTCTAAGTTATCTCATTATTGCTTCTTAATTTGAGCCAATGCTATGTTGTCATGTATATACGAGAGAGAAAGAACAGAATTTTAGAATCGAAGTGGACCTTAAATATAGTGAGTTGACTTCATATGAGATAAACATTTAAGTATAGATGCTTGGGTTACTGTAGGAATAGGATTATTGCTCTCTGAGACCACTAAAATAGAGCTATGGAGAAAAACTCATGAGAATATCATTACCAGTATTGAATCATCCCAAGGGAAATGTCCATCTCCTTTCGCTTTATGGAGGTCAGTCATGGGTGTCGTGGCCAGTACTGAGCAGCCCTCCATTAGTATAATCAGGACTGTGTAACCAACCCAGGCCATATACTCAACAGCAAGTTCTCTTGTGTTTTATGTAGCATGGACATTGAAAAATCGCCTGATCTTCCCTATGTTTACGTGAACTCATCTGGGACCATTAAGAACAATAAGCCCATCCAGGTGGTCTCTGCATGCAGTTTGAAGACATATGCTTTCCCATTTGATACACAGAACTGCAGTCTAACCTTCAATAGCATCCTGCACACAGGTAAACTTAGAGAGATGGGGTCAGCTACCTGGAAAATGCTCTTACAGAGAGAACATATGCCAAAGTGAAACAGCTGACATCTGTCATTGCTTGACTTTATCCTTGTCATTAGTTGGCTTATTCAACTGAATTCAATTCAGCTTAACTCAACTTGCTTGTTAAGTACCTGGTCTTTTCAAGGCACTGTGCTGGGTTCCCAGAAAAGAAATGATGAAAACAACACAATCCTGTATTTACAAAGCTAACATTTTATTGGGCGGTAGGGTGTGTGGAGAGGATATAACATATCTTACATAAGTATAATACAAGGTAGAAAGCAATGCGGGAGAAGGAGAGATCTGGGCCAAGTGCTGTAGCAAAGCTTTGGGAGAGAGCAAAGAATTTCTAACTGGAAGGAAGGGAAGAGCCTGGAAGGAAGGGAAGAATTTTGACAGGTAGAGATAAGGACAGAAAGCAATCTAAGCCTGGGAGAGAGCTTGCTTGCACAGATTCAGAAATGTGGGAGAAAACATGTGAAAAGCTATGTGAAGCAAAGTAGTGCGAAAGTAAGGCTGGACAGGCTGGTTGGAGCCAGGAAAAGAAGGCCTTGAAGTCCTGGATGAGGAGCTTGTACTTTACCCTATAAGCAATGAGGAGCCACTGTAGGCTTTAGAGAAGGAGGGTGGCATGATCAGACATATGCAATGGGAAGACTTTGACAGCTTCATGGAGCATATAGAAGGGGACTACTGAAGCTAGAGTCAGAAGACCTGGGTTCAAATCCTGCCTCTGATGCTTCCTATTTATATGACCTTGGCAAGTCATTTAACCTCTCTTAGCCTCAGTTTCCTCATCCATAAACTGATGACATTGGACTAGATGACCTTGGAAGTCGTTTCCCTCTCTAGATCTACAGTTCTTTGATTCAAGCCTGGGTATATCTATCTGGTCCCTAGGGTTACCTATACTGCCTCCAATTTGGGAGTCCTGATGATACAACTTTTATTTCTAGATACAAGCCATGGTACCAGCTCCATCAACCCATGGACAATATGACCCAGTTCTCATCCTCACTATTTTTTCATGGCTATTTTCACCCAGTATTCAAAACAGGGAGACCCAACTTGGTGCATATAATGTGGAAGCCCAATACAAATGATAGCGTGAATAGTGATGACAGTGAAAGGAAGGAGTGCAATAAAGAAGAGGGCGCCTCTCCTATGTGAAAACCAATGGTTTCTGTTGTTTCCAGTGGCAGATTTAGATCTTGCCTTCCTGAGGAGCACAGAAGACATTAAGAAAGACAAAAAGACCTTCATGAATGATGGCGAATGGGAACTCCTTTCTGTGCCTTCAACCTACCAAGTCATGCACAGTGACGCTGGCGACTTTGCACAGATTCAGTTTCATGTAGGTGCTTTGCGGCCTTCCTCTCGATGCTCATTTCCCTCTGTAGTGTTCTGTGACAGGGGAAGGAATCCCCAAGTGTCCCCTGGAGGGGGTGGTTAGGCACTGGGGTTATACAAAGTTCTCCAGGCCCAATTTTACTCTGGAGCCTCAGGTTCCAGCCACAGGGCCTGGAGTGATGCACTTATCCTCTCAGGTATGGGCAGTTTATAAACAAACAAAGGGACTGAGAGAGTACATTTTTTTCAGACAGCATAAGAATGAGAAGGGGAGATCTGGGCTGAGGAAATGAATCAATCAATCAACTCACTGTGGCCTTGATTCTCAAAGCTTTTCAATACTGCTTTAGCAAGAACAAAGATACCCTACACCAATTAACTGCCTAGTACATTCCTCAAAATCCTCATTGAAATAAATGGGGAAAATAGGATCTCCTTAAAAGTAGTACTAATATATAGGATAGTCCTTTATAGAAAAAATAAATAGCCAATAATTATCTCATTTCATATAAATTACAAATTCCATATGATTTGCATTGAACGATCAATTGACAGAGACCCTCAAGAGATGCACCTCAAGAGACAGACTGTGTGTATTGGAAAGACCTTTGGCTTTGGGGTCAGAGGTCCTTAGTTATAATCCTGACTCTCCACTTACTACCTGTGTGACCACAGGCAGCTCATTTCACCTGCCTCAGATTCCTCATCTGTAAAATGAGGAGATTAGAGTAAATAACCCCTATGGTCTCCCCCAGCTTCAGATCTGTGAGCCTATGGCCCTATGAGATCTCGGTGATGACCACTGGACCTTATTAAGATGAGGAACTGTAGTTCTCAGACCATAAGGGGTGCTCATGACTGCATGTTGACATGGAAATTTCCCCAGCAGAGGAAACCATAAGGTGAGGATGTTCAGGAGGAGAATTAAAACCTATTGCTTCAGAGAGTGCTGTGATAAAAAGGTAGGCTGCTTGTACATCCCATGAAATGAGTCACAGCTTACCCTTTACCCACCCTAGAGCCCAGAAGGTTCCTATATCTGGGCATCCTCACAAAATACATGGCTACATGGAAAAGACCAGCCCCAGCCTATTAGCACTCAGCAGAGCTCTGGGTCAGAATGGCTTGTTGAGAGGGGTAGATGAATTCTTCACGCCAAGAGAGGTAATAGAACTGACCCCCCAAAAATAGAAGTTGTAAGTAGTGTTGCATGCTAGATCTATTCACTGTGCCCACAAGATACACTCAGCAAGAAACTGTCCCCTTCAGGCTTCGAAGCCTGGGAGCTTCTTTCGAAGGCTCCTGGTGCCAGTGAATATCCGGATCTTAAGAGAGAAAAAAACCCAGCAATGACTTAGAGCAGTGTTCAGCAGCACCTCCACCACAAGTTACTGAGGAATGCCCAGACTTCCAAGTATACCCAGCAGAGCGCCAGTTAAGCCCAGGGACTCTCTACTTAACTGCGTGTGTGTTCTCCCTTCCCTTACTACACATCCATTTCCATTCAATCACCAAATATTTATCGCATGCACAGAACTTATGACCTAACTACTACATGAGGACACTTGTGATAATGGCAAACCACCTTCTAGCAGCACGTTTGTGTCCTGCCTTGATTTCCTCTACCTTCTTAGCAAAGACTGCACTGGGGCCTACTTGTCCACCTCTTTTGCTAGAAGAAGGAAAAAAGGAAGCTTTCCCTCGCCTTTATTTTGATGAGTTTCTTGGATAAGAGTAAACACCTCATTAATTTTAAAGATATCAGCCTGCAAACATTATTAATGCAGCCCGAATAATGGAGAGCATTAAAGGGAAATGCACAGGACTAACACGTGCCAGGTGGAACAGTCACCTATCAAGCACTCCAGAGAATGATGCACACACCATTACCTACACTGCGTGAAGGAGACAAACAAAGGCAGAGACAGGGCCGGCACACTGAGAAATAGACAGGCGCAGAGGCTCCGCAAAAGCAGTAATCATTTGTAATTCCATCCAACCCTTTCACCCCAGCTCTCAATTTATCCTCTCAGTGCCTGGGTGGGGGATCTTAAGAGCAGTACTTCCATTTTTCAGATGAGAAAACTGAGGCACGAAGAGTTTGCATAAAGCAAACATTTTAAGTTTCAGGAGTCTTGCCCACAGCTTCTTCCCCCCTTCCTCTTGCCCTCCTTCTTCCCCTTCCACTGTCATATTTCCCTTTTGTAGGCATTGCTAAGGCATGCAGAGAAAAAAAAAGCCATTCAGACACTTTTCTAAACTTTTTTTCCCCTGAAGCTTCTTTGCTCTGGAGACCAGGATGGGACCCTCCCAGGTAAGGGAGAAAACTTCTAGGGTACAGTGGGAAAGAATATGGTCATTCTCATGGAACATGTGGTTCTGATTCTAGGATGGGTAGGCTAATCAGAGGGTCTATAACTTCAATTGAGATTTGAGGTTGATTCATTATTAGATCCTGGTCTCCTTTAATCTCCCATGTCCCCTTTTACTTGCTCCATTCCCATTATACGCTGAACCTTGTAATAAATTCATAAACTCAGTCATACCTTTATGAAAAGGTTGAATTATTAAGGTATTTAGATTCATCCTGCAGTGTGGGGACTTCAACATTCCACTGCCCATAAGACAGGGCCCTAGTCTCTTCACTCCATAGAGCAGAACAAGGACCCTCGGTAGCAGAATCAAGCTCCATGGTACTGCCGTCTTGCAAGGAGGAGGGAGCACCAGTTGGAAGGAGGCAAACAGAGCCCTGTGCTGGAGGGTCATCTGAAAGAGGAGGTCAGTTTCCTTCTAATCTAATCACCCTCTTCTATCCCAACTACTGTCACACAGTAAGGGACATGAAGATGAAGATGGGGGAGCAATAATCTATTGTAAATGTGCTACCCCTTCAGTCCTTCTGTATACTGTGGCTGTTTGCACTGAATTTAAGTAGCTAAAAGTCCAAACAGATCCCAGCTAACGGTGCAATCATATCTGCTGGCTCCACAACACATATTGTTTATTAGAGGGGGCAGATGATGCTTTGAAGTCAGGGTTACTTTCAGCATGGGGCCCACAGCACAGATATTTCTTCCAACAAGGATGTCTCTGAGGATCCTGGGACCTGTTCCAACAGCCACAGGAGGGGAAATATCCTCCAATACTTTATGGGATATACTGGTTCCTAGAAACAACAGGGAAAGCATTCTATTCCTGTATGGCAGGGGTATTTTTTGTTTGTTTTGTTTTGTTTTGTTTTGTTTTGTTTTTAAGAAGAAGAAAAAATTTGGGAATTTTAATCTGATGGAGGAAGGGGTAGTTCTGGGCCCTCAGCACTGATCCAATCCAGACAATCTCACTCTGATTTATGGATTTTCAGGCAGGAATCCAATATGGCCTGGAAGGAGGAATAAAGAGTACTCAAGGGGAAAAAGAGGATCACTCTCCTTTGTTCCCTTCCAGAGGCAGATATGAATCACCTTGCAGATGAGAGGTCTCACAAATCCAACAGGAGAGCTTTCTCCTCTCTGTAAATCCTGGGGTACCATTAGCCCCCTCAACAAGTGATAAAGGACTAATCATAACTTTATAAACCTTCTCTGACGTCACTTCAAGTAGGTGTGGAATCCTAGTTACCATATAATATTTTGGCATGCTGATGACATGTTTGGGAAGGGATTTAATAACATGGACAGAAACTTTAACTCTGTCCAGTGGGATCAATTTTTCTCTCTCTGAGGGAATACAGAAGGAGATAGTCCTTGAGATATTAGGAGAAAGGCACCCCTCAGTGGGATCTTGCTCAACCTACAAGCCAGATCCATGGTGTTCCCACTTAGGCACACAGAGGAACTTACCTGAGTGGCAATAACTTTCCCAGCACTCTCCAAAATTGGAACATTGGTGAAGGGGAGGGGAAGAGAGGGAAATGGGCTTCCGTATGGAGCGTGAATCTGGGCGTCAAAATTCCAACTATGTCATAAAGACGGTCATGGAAAATTAAGTACTGGTGGGGTCTACCATCAAGGAGGCAATTAGAGGCTAACCTTGGGGCCTATTCCATCTCCAAGGAGCTCTCGGCACACACGTTCTGAATTAGATTGATCTCTTTCATTAACATCAATAGGCTCCAAATACCTTTGTGTACTTATTATTACCTGGCTTTAATGGATAATGAAATTGTGGCATAATATTGCTAACACCTGAAGGGTGTCTAATGGAGAACACGGACTGAAACTAAAGTGCTTTCTCTTCCTTTCCTGTGGAATTTAAAGGCACTGGCTCCTTTAGTCCATTAGAAATGATGGGCTCTGGGTGGTGATGGATCAAGAAGGGGTAGCTTCTCACTGAGCCAAATTTAGTACCACTTCCCACCCATCCCAGGGTCAGGTTAGATGCTGCCTCTGTATTTGTCCTAGGGTGCAGCAGCTCTCAGAGAATCTTATCTCAGCAAGTCACCTTTCTTTTGAGATCACTCCATACTCCCATTCCATGGTGGCTGAAAGCAGGCTTAAGCACAGACTCTGTGGACTGGACAGGACAGGACCTCCAGCTATTTAGCCTAGTCCCCTGCCCCCATAGAGGGAGAGTGATTCCATCCCAACATCAATCCAAACATATTATCCCCATTTCATCTACCAGTCTGGGAGTCATATTGACAGATACACAGTTACTCGGTTCCCACTGAAAGTTTATGGCAAAATCTAGGTTTGTTCTTCATTTACTTATTACTATCTAGCTTTGCAAAAGGGTTTTTTCCTCTCCTTCCAGAACTGATTCTAGGGGCAGTCTGGATGGCAACAATGAACTATATACCCTGTATCCTTCCAACACTGCTCCCTTTTCATCTTGTCAAGTGCCACGTATGATTTCCACTTTGACAAAATGTCACCACCTCTGGAATTGTAGCCACTGGAAATCACACCTGCTGCCCCTTTGTTCTGGTCCTGATTTACCCCCATAGTCTTCTGCTTCTATGATTATTAGACTGTGGAATTTGTACCATGCAGAACCCTGTATGGACAATTATAATAATTCTGACAACTAGGACTGACCCAAAGACTTTTCTCAAAGTGATTCACGGTTTTAACCTCGTTAGTTCCCACAACCTTCTCTCCAATGGAGACAAAGTTCATTACTCTGATAGGATCATAGGTTTAGAACTGAAAGGGGCTTTGGAGGACCTCCAGTCCAACCTTCTTATTTAGCAAATGAGGAAGCTCAAGTAATTTGCCCAAGGTCACACGAGTAATAAGTGGCAGAATTGGAAGGATTCAAAATTGGTCCCTGTGACTTCAGCATTCTTTCCACTCTGCCACACTGCCTCCCTCTTTGAATAAAAGGATTGACTGAGACCCAGAGAGTTTAAAAGACCCTCTGACAGTCATTCGGCTAACCAGCAGCCAAAGGAGAATTTGAAAATCTCTGCCCCTGACTCCTTCCTAGACTGATGCTCTTTTCACATAAGTATCTTTCCTCTTTCTTCGGGCTTTCCCTTTGTATGAACTCCAGCTGAAACACTGAGAGAGTTCTTGATCAATCTAACACTCACAACTGAATCATTGGGAGATTTCTTGCCTTCATTAATCAGAAGAAGCAGGTTCATCTGGAGTTATGGCTTAGATGATTTTCCATCATTCCATTAGGTCAGCCCTCTGGCCAAAGCCATCATGATTCCAATATCTCCCAGAAACATGGGTGTGGGGACTTTACTGGAGAACCTTTTTATATTCTTGAACATCTTAGCTCCCTGTTCTCCTGATTCCCATCTCCTGTCATCGACATAAACTGCTGCTTGCTGACATAAAGAGGAGAGGTACAGGTTGAAAACAGTTAATTTTGTTGTTTTTCTTGGCTGCTTTTTGTGGAAACGGTTTTAACCAAATCATTGCGAAGTGGTGAATGTTTTTCTCTGCTTTAGATACTCACAGCCAATTGTGTTTAATGTTAAAAAAAAAAACAAAGCCCAATAACCACGAGGCTACAATCAGCCCCAGTGATTTTGGCCTGTCTAGTTCTACAGAACTGAGATGCGCTCCCAGAACCAATGACTGATGAGGCTGATCAATGAGGTGGCGCTCTGCCCATGGAGCTCTTCCCCCTCCTTGGGCTGATCTAGTCAGTCTTTCCCTGCTCTTAGTATTCTCCCAGTTCAGTTCTAACCTCCACCCCATCAGATTCAGGTTTTTTTCTCCCTCTGAGCTTACTTCTCAAAGAAGACACTATGATTTTGGAGGGGCTCTACACTAACAAGACAAAGTCAGAACAAGAATCATGACACTTCCTAACATGTCATTCTATCGTCTCCAAGAGCAGCTGGTTCAGAATCTTAAGACTCTTCTGGCTGAAAGGAACCTTGAGATACATTCCTCTGATTTCTTAAAAAGCCTACCATAAGTCATCCCAGACAAATGAAAATCCATCCTGTTTTTAAAAATGCCCTCAATCCCTACAGGAGGAAATGAGATTCAATAATAGTTAACAATAATAACAACAACCATCATAATCCTGTTTTCCAGGAAGTTCTTTGTCATTCAATTCCAACTCCATAATTTTTATTGAATATCTACTTTATGCCTACCATTGTACCAGTGGGAATATAAAAGATTTATAGTGTAACAGTGGACATTTTCAAGTTTGCAAAGCAAACTTCATTTGAGCCTCACAATAATCCTACTATGAGTAGATACTATAGGTATTATCACCTCCCCCATTTTATAGATGAGAAGATTAAAGCCAGAGAGGTTAAGTGACTAATCTGAGGTCACACAGCCATTAAGTCTAAGAGATAGGATTTAAACCCAGGTTTTTCTGGTCCCAACCCAGTGCTCTATCTGTTGTGCCCTGTTGCCTGTCAACTCAGTCCTTAAGAACATTATATTTTAGCTAGGGAGACTAGGTAATTAATGAAATATTCATCAACAATTTTCAGGTCTAATATTCACAAAATAATTACATTTCAGCATAAAAACTACCAGCATTTACATAGCATTTTAAGGTTTGTGAAGCACTTTACATATACCTCATTTGGTCCTCACAAAAATTCTGAAAGGTAATGCTATCATCCCAATTTCAGAGATAAGGAAACTGAGGCAGACAGCAGTTAAATGGCTTAATAATAACAATGACAGCTAATATTTATATAATGCTTACTATGTACCAGGCACTATGCTAAGCACTTTACAGACATTATCTCCTTTGGTCCTCACAATAATCCTGGGAGGTAGGTGTTATTATTATCTTCATTTTACAAATGAAGAAACTGAGACAGAGGTTAAGCGACTTGCTCAGGGTCACACAGCTAGCAAGTAGCTGAGACTAAATTCGAACTCAGGTCTTCCTGACTCCAAATATACTGTCCACTGGGCTGCCTAGATGCTTTGAGTTCCCTATATGGAAGAACCGATAGAACTAGTCCAAACCCCTTCCCCCAACCCTAATCCTTATTGTTAAAATTTGAAACTTTCTATTTTTCCTAACTTTGGAGTAGTGTCACACACATTTCTAAAAGAGAAGTAAAGAAACTTTTAAACTTTGAAAAAAGTTAGGAACTCAGAGTGGTGTTAGAGGGGAAGACTTTGATCCACAAACATCATATAGTTCAAAGAACTATCCCACTCCATGCTATTGATTCCATAACCCTGGACATGGATAGGCAGGATAGAGCAAGGGGAGCCCAGAAGGGAGTCATCCTACTGATTTCTTTTCCCTTCTCAGGTGGTGATCCGGAGACGACCATTGGCCTATGTGGTAAATCTGTTGATTCCCAGTATCTTCCTCATGGTTGTGGATTTAGGCAGCTTCTTTCTACCCCCAACCTGCCGCACCAGGATTACTTTCAAGACCAGTATCCTGGTGGGCTACACAGTCTTCAAGGTCAACATGTCTAATGAGGTACCCAGGAGTGCAGTGAGCACGCCTTTGATTGGTGAGTAGTCTTGGGGCTATCTGCTGCTCAACAAAATTTGATATTGCTTTTTCACTGTGGAGAAGGAAGAGGGACTGTATCTCTCTGCTAACTTTACCTCTGCCTGACCCCTTTTTCCAGGTGTCTTCTTGACAATCTGTATGGTCTTCCTGGTTGTCAGCTTATCTAAGTCTATCCTTCTGGTTAAGTTCCTCCATACAGAAAGAAGTAGTAGGCAGGACCATCCCCTCTTTTGTTTCCAAAGGACCTCCAGGGCTAGACCAGTGGATGGTGCCCATCTGACCAGAACTTCTTTGACTGTAGCTGACTCCCCAACAGGTAGGTGAGAAGCCTGGAGTTTCCTTCCTTCTTCCCATCTTCATTTTTATCACCATCATCAGTTCACATTGATGGAGCATCAGAAAGCATCATGGATCTTTGCTAAGGATTTTAGATCTATGAAACACTCTCATGGCTCCAGCTCAATCGATCCATCCCAGAACCTAAAGGTCTGTCTGCCCATCCACCTGATCCCCTTTCTAATCAGTCTCATTTGGACTAGAAAACAGTCTTCTTTGGCTTGTGCCTTATCCTTTAGATCTGGAGTTCTTAACATGGAACCTGTGAACTTGTTTTTAGTATTGTAATAACTATTTCAATACAAGTGGTTTCATTTGTCATTCTATGAATTTTAATTTATGCATTAAAATATTATTCTGGGAAGGTATCTACAAGGCTTTATTATTCTGCCAAAGGGATTCATGGCACCAAAAAGCTAAGAACCCCTACTTTAGTGAGTTAGAGTTATATCCTTACAATCTAAAGTACCTAAAGCTTTTGATTCCAAAGCCTTAGATTTGCAATTCACTTAGTGTTAGAAAGCAAGACAATCTTCCTGTCCCAGTTGTCCTTCTCCCAATGTCTCCAGGGCTCTAAATGGGACAAGTTGGGTTGGCCCCCAAGCCCATGAAACCTACCCCCATCGATTTGGCCCAGATGCCCTCAGATGTGCCATTGTAGCTTTGGCATTTCCATCATTTAAGTCAATTCAACAAAGAGCTATCAAGCACCTACTATGTGGAGGGTGTTTTGTTAGGTGTTGGGAATACAAAGTTAAAAAGTGCTCTTGCCTTCAAGGAACTTATAAACTAATTGTGGAGGAAGATGATTTAGCCACATTTACAGATAAGTATGGTAGAAGGTAGAAAGTGATAAGGGAAAAGGGAGGTCCAGAGAAAGTGCTACAAGAAAGTTGAGGAGGATATGATCAGGAAAGGGTTGGTAGAGAAAGTGGCACTTGAACTAGTCCTTGAAGGAGGAGGATTTCAACAGCTGGAGAAATGTAAGGAGTGTTTTTGCAAGAATGAGGATAGAGTGGGTGAATGAAAAGAGGCAGAAGGCAGAAGAAGATCAGGGCATAGCTAGGAGTCCGAAATGGCTGGACTGTAATGTGTAAAGGAGAACGGAGTGAAATAAGCCTGGAAAGATAGGTTGAAGCTAGATTTTTCAATCCCAGGTGAAAGAACTGTATTTTATCACTTAGGCAATTAGGAGCCACTGAGGGATTTTGGTTAGAAGAGTGACATGGTGAGAGCTGCACATTAAGAAAATTACTTTGGCAAGATTGGAGACAATATTGGAATGGGGAGAAATTCAGATCAGGCAAGAGGCTATTACAATAGTCTGGAGAAAGGTCACAAAGATCAGAATTATAATAATGGCAATGTGAGTGGAGAAAAGAGAAGAGATACCCAGGAAGGAGAATCAATGTGACATGGTAGATTGTTTGGATAGGGGAAGTGAAGGAGAGGGAAGAATCAAAGATAACTCCAATGGTACTGTCTAAGCTGAATGCTGATTAATGGTACACATTACAATTTGATCTTTGTTCTGCCCTGCCTCACCCCCCTCCTTCAGGGCGAGTGAAAGTTCTTCCCCTACAGCTTTCCTAGTGCAACCTAAGCTCCAGGTCTTAGCCTCTAATGGAAAACTGAATCTTGACAAACCTAACTTACCAGACTGTTTTCTCCCCTCATTTCAGATGTTCCTCCCTGTCACGAGCACCAGCCTCAGGTGGGGTTTCTGGAGGAGGCCCTGGCCCAGCTCCAGTCCATCAGCTCTTGTATTCAGGCTCTGGACCAGGCTGCCCAACAGGAGGCTTCATGGCTTACAATTCTGTACCGATTTGACAAGCTTTTGTTCCAGGGTTACCTCCTGGTTCTGGGAGTGTATACCATCACACTCTGCTCCCTGTGGGCAGTGTGGAGTTCTCTGTAAAATTTGTTAGGCCAATTCATAGTATACACAGCGTGTGTGTGTGTGTGTGTGTGTGTGTGTGTGTGGTGGGGGGAGGTGGGGTTAGGTGGGTCACAGGTCCTTAGCCTGCTCTATTATCTATTTCCATTTACCACAAATGATTTTTTTAAGAGCAAGAAAAATAATATAGAATAGCAGAGAGCACATTGGCTCTGGAATCAAAGGACCTGGGTTCAGATCCTGCCTCTGTCACTAACTACCTAGTGAACCTTAAGCAAGTCATTCACCCTCCAGCTACATTATGAAGGGGTTGGACTGGATAGCTTCTCTACCCCTTCCACATCTACTTGTTCATTCATATCTGGCTCTTCATCACCCCATGGACCATCCTGTGCATGGAGTTTGCTTGGCAAAGATGCTGGGGTGGTTTGTCATTTCCTTCTCCAGTGGATTAATGCAAACAAATGTTAAGTGACTTGCCCAGGGTCATACAACTATTAAGTGTCTGAGGCTGGATTTGAACTGGATGTTCCTGACTCCAGGCCCAGTTCAATCTACAGCTATGCTCAAAAATCATTCCATGTCTCTTTCCTATCTGTATAATTTAAATTCTAGTGCCCTTCTGGAACCAGTCTCCTACCAGTCCTGGTCCTCATAGTTGACCAAGGTGCCTTTTAGGTCTGAATCTTCAATGATTAATAACCATACTAATGTTTCTTTCTAGACCCATCACTGTCTTAGGTTCCCTTGAGTACCTTACCTTTCTGGATCACTCAATCTCACTACCCCTAGACCTGGTTCACCTCCACTATCCAGTGTTTTTGATCTAGTGCTGGTTTTTGCTGAACATTAATTATTGGAGTAGATCTGGGAACCCAAGTTGCATGGATTGATCAATTAACCAAAATGCTAAGAAAATGTCCCTGCCACCAAGCATCCAGCCTACTTTTCCTTACCTCTTAGCCTCTTATCCATTCCCGCTTCTCCTTTAGAGTAGATGAGGAGGCCTGGCTGCTCAGCATCTGAACTGCAAGTTTTCCCTCCCTTCCTCCAGTCTCTCATTCCTCCAATACACGCAACTGCTAGAGTTATTTTTCTTGAAACACCATGTTAATTGGGCTGTTCCCATGCATGGAAATCTTGTTGCCTATTGTATCAGATCCAAATCCAAATTCAAAGGCATCCTCCAGCTTCTTTTCTTTCTTTACCTAAGGACCCACACACCCTTCACTGCTCAGAATACAATCTGTCTCGGAAATCTCAAATTTCTCTACCTCCCTGTGATCACTTAGTTCTCTCCCCCGCTTCATTGCTCATGTGTGTAGTTTTACGTTGCCTTTATTGATACTTGTATTCTCACCCTCTTCAAAGAGTTTGGGTGGTTTTCCTATATGGTCAGGTTCTACCTCCTCAAGCAGATTGTGAACTCCCTGAGGGCATCAACTTTTGCCTTCTATTTCTAGGTGTGTGGGACAGCGACTCTAAATCAATTAAACTCAGAGACTTCTCAAGGTGGAAGCAAAGTTAAGTTTTATTACAATCTCGGGAGAAGCAGTGTCTGCTCCCCTGGTACACTTCCAGGAGGAGAGAGGCAGGGCACAGAAAGCAAAACGAGATTATGTACCCTAATGCAAAAAAAAAAAAAACCTCCACCCACCACTATCTCTTACTCCCATTGGCTGGGGAGGGGGGCTTACATTCTAGGCAAGAAAATTCAAAGACAAAGAATAAGGAAACAGGGTATAGCCAATACATGTCCTTATTTAGTAAACCTAATGCTGATGTAGCAGTGGTGTGGTGATCAGAAAGGGGTTTAGGGCCGAATTCCCATGAATTAGGTAATTTCTAGGAAACTGAAATTTACTGCAATTTCCCCTCCCTAACCCCTTTCTCCTTATCCCAGAGACAAGAAAAGGTGGGAAGCTAAAGGCAAGCAGTTCAGGTTGGGGGCAGGGTTTATTCTTTCTGTTTTGTGCTTAAAAACAGGGTCTGAGAGGGGGAGGATTTTGAAAGCAATAATCAATAACTATTAACAAGAACTATTGACCTTTGAGGAGGCTTCACTTCTGAGAGTTCATCTCTCACATAGGTATCCTTCCTCCTTACCTCAGACTTCACAGGGTTTTTCACACAGCAGCAGATAGACAATACATATTATGGAGTGACTGATTCTCTCCAAGCTTGCCAAGGACACATTTCTCAGCCATTCTCCCTGTGCTCCTCCCAGACAATCCCAAGTCTGAGAGACTGTGAAATCTGCAGCCTTACTCCCACCCTCCCCACCAGCCTTTGGGAGTGTGTTGGCTAGTAGGGGGTTGAGGACAGAGAAAAATCTACCTTGCTCCACCAATTCTGACATCTTTCTTTGTCCTTGTGGAGGTCATGGAAAAGCTAAAATCGGTGGTAACTTTGGCCAGCTCTGAAATTGCTTTTTAAAAACACCACCCTCCTTCCCCCAGAAAAAAAAAATTTAAATACAAACAGCCTTTACCTGAAGCCTCTTTCTCTCATTACCTCCCTGTTAGTGCTCAACACCAATTGTCCATGAAATTCTGCTGCTGCTGTTAATGAAATGAGGAACATAAGAAGTTTCAGAACAGAAAGTGTCCATGGAGCCCTCCCCTTTCCACCTGTTAACCTTCCCATTTCCTGCTTTCTCCCATTGGTTATCTTCCTCTGCCTTTACATGCTCAAGCATCCCTGAACTTATCCCAGCTTTCTTCCTTTTCTCCAAGTGGGGGAGAAGACTCATATTGTTCTCACCACTGTAAGAGCCATTGAGAACCTTCTCTTTTATTTTTTGGCAAGGCAATTGGGGTTAAGTGACTTGCCCAGGGTCACATAGCTAGTAAGTGTCAAGTGTCTGGTCCGAGACCAGATTTGAACTCAGGTCCTCCTGACTCCAGGGCCGGTATTCTATTTACTCAGCCACCTAGCTGCTCCTGAGAACCTTCTTCTTTTCCCCACTCCTCTGTACGATGCACACACACACACACACACACACACACACACACACACACACCCCTTTGGTGCAGAAATTACGTTGGATTGGGAGGTAGAAGACCAGTGTTCCAGTCCTGGCTCTTCCTCTAACTAGCTAGGTGACCCTGGACAAATATCTGAAATTCTCCAAGCCTCAGTTTCGTTGTCTGTCAAATGTGGATACCAATACCTGACACACATACCCCCATGGTGCTGCTGGGAAAATCAAAATGAGGTAATGTGTATTAAAGTGCTTTGAAAAATACTAAATGTTATGCAACTTTAAATATAAGGTGTACCAATACTACACAGAAATGGAGTCCAGAGGCTTGTTCCTCTGGGGGGTATACTGCTATTCAATTTCTTTTCCCTAGAAGAAGCCCAGTAATGCTACCACAGGAAAGAACATTGCCACTACTGTGTCAAACGTATCTTTTCTCAGAAGTCTTTCACCCATTATTCTGCCTTACTCTGATTATCCTACTCTTCCTTCTCCTTCATTGCTATTCTTAACTGCTAAGTCCAATGGGATTTTCTCAACCTCATTCTCCTTCACCCCTCAGCAGTTTTTGAAATTGGCCACTTGACAGTGGCCTAGATCCTCTCCTCTCATGGCATCTATGCTGTTGATCTCTCTTGGACTCATAGATGTTTGACCATGCCTTAATCTTCTTTGCTGGACCTTCCTCTCCTCTTGCCCGATAAGTGTGGGTGTTTCCCAAGGCTCTGTCTTGGACTCTTTCCTCTTCTCTCTCTAAACTCTCTGCTTTGGTAATCTCATCAGCTTCTATGTATTAGGTTACCATTTCTGTACAACTCATTCTCTTTCCCTTTAAAAGGCATCTCTTTTCCCAACTTCCTCATTTCTATTGGTCAACATCCTCTCAAACCTCTGTACAAAGCACTTCATTTCCCACCTCCATGACTTTGTACAAGTAGTCCCCCATGTCTAGAAAGAACTCCCTCTTCATTCTTGCCTCTTAGAATCCCTAGCTTCCTTCAAAGCAAAGCTCAGTTGCCACTGTCTGTATGAAGCCTTTCCTAAATCAGCCAAAAATTAACACTTACCTTCTTGAAACTTCTTTGTATTTGTATTTACCTGTGTGCATGTTTCATTCCCCTATGGCCCAGGAGCATGTAAACTCCTTAAGGGCAAGGACTGTTTTGTCTTTGTATCATCAGAACTTAGCACAGTGCCTTGCACATAGTAGGCACTTCATAAATATTTGTTGTATTGCCTATGTGTGCAGTTTTATGTCACCTTCTTGGGCGTTTGTATTCCTATTATCTTCAAATGCCTTTTGGTGATTTTTTCTTATGGGTAAAAACTCCAAAGGAGGCTACTGCTAACCCACGTGGATGCGGTGCAGGGAGCCTCCAAGTTAGGCCATCTGTGCATGCTCAGGGAAGCCCTGAGACAGTTTTAAACCCAAGTCCTTGACATAAATTCAGCATGATGTAGTAGCAAAAGCAATGCCCAATAAGAGAAAGAACAGTGCACTAGGGATACCAAGATTGGCCTTGAAGTCAAGTCAACAAGAATTTGTTAAGTGACTACTATACTCCAGACACTGCACTAAACTCTGAGGAAACAAAGAATGAGAAACAGGGTCTACTTTAAAAAGATCATATTCTATACAAGTCACTCCATAATTGCTAAATGATCAAAAGATATGAACAGGTAATTTTTCAGATGAAGAAATTAAAACTATCTATAGCCATATGAAAAAATGCTCTAAATCACTATTGATTAGAGAAATGAAAATCAAAATGACTCTGAGGTACCACATCACGCCTATCAGATTGGCTAACATGACAAAACAGGACAATGATAAATGCTGGAGAAGATGTAGGAAAATTGGAACACTAATGCATTGTTGGTGGAGTTTTGAGCTGATCTAACCACTCCGGAGAGCAATTTGGAACTATGCCCGAAGGGCTATAGAAATGTGCATACATATCCTTTGATGCAACAATTCCACTTCTTGGTCCATATCCCAAAGAGATCATAAAAATGGGAAAAGGACCCACATGTACAA